TCTCTGTTTTTAATATTATTAAAACATTTTTCCTTAAATTTTGAGGGTTTTCTACTTTGTTGTTGTATTCTAATTTTAACGCAGAAGACTCTGTTGTTGTTATAATATCCATGTATGGTATCGACTTTAAAGATGGTACAAAGTTTGGAACATTTTTCTATAATAAAGTTATTTGTATTAGAGTATATATATATGTATATAGAGAAACTGTATTTCTTTATGTTTTAAATTATATATATATATATATATATATATATATATATATATATATATATATATATATATATATATATATATATATATATATATATATATATTAATTATCTTCGCTTCCAACAAGGTTGCAAGCAACCACTAATTAGTGTTGGAAATTACTGGAAGAGAAAAGATAAAGATTGTAGAGCAAGATAACGATTGACAGACGACTTAAAATATTGCAAATTATATGAATCAGGAAAGCAAGATGAAGGAAACGAATTCCAAAGAACTGATGTTCGAGGAAAAAAACTAGACAAATAAGAGTTTTTGGAGCACTTAGGAACAGTAACAGAAAAAGGATGAGACTTAGTTGAATGACGAGTAACACGAGATTGAATTTTAGTATATGGCACAAGAGACGCTAGCTCTTTAGAGCAGTGCCCATTATACTATTTGTAGAAAAGAGAAAGAGAAGCAACATTACGACGATGTGACAGAGGTTGAAGGTTGGCTGCAAGAGCAGGTCAAACTATGTTTACAATGCGTTTTTGCACCTTGTCTAAATGAGAAAGGGCATTATTAGAAGATCCGCCCCAGATATGGCAACAGTATTCCATACAAGGCCGGATTTGAGATTTATAGAGATAGAGAATAGAATCCAGAGTAAGAAAGTGACGAGCTCGATAAAGAGAAGCAACTTTAGCAGATGCTAATTTTGCATCGGATTTGATATAAGGTTTCCAAGAAAGATCAGAAGTAAGAGTTAATCCTAGAAGATGAAGGGTAGGAGACTCATCGAGTACATTAAATTGAGTTTTATCTGAATTAAAGTTTACCAGCCACTGCGAGCCCCATGCTGTAGCAGAAGTGAGATCCTTTTCGAGCTCAGATGCCCCCTGCAAGCAATCAGAGGGAGTTGGCTTCTTATCGTGACAAGAATAAATGGTAGTATCATCAGCGAACAATGCCACCTTAGATGTGAGAATATCTGGAAGATCGTTAATGTAAATTAAAAAGAGTATAGGGCCAAGTATTGAACCTTGAGGAACCCCTGAGGATACAGAATAAGAAGAAGAGTGCTGTTCATCAAGGACAACTTTTATACTACGATTGGAAAGGAACGATTCAATAATCTTAAAGATGTTTCCAGATACACCGTAAGAAGAAAGCTTATGGAGAAGACCAGCATGCCAAACTTTATCAAACGCTTTAGAAATGTCAAGAGCAATGGCCTTAACCTCTCCACCTTTATCTAATGCGCGATAAAACCTATCGGTTATTACTGATAGCAAATCAGCCGTAGAACGAGAAGATCGAAATCCATACTGATGATCAGAAAGTAGGTTATGAGATTCGAGATGAGAGATTAAGTGTTTGTTAATTAAAGATTCAAAAACCTTGCTGATGATAGGAAGAAGACTAATGGGACGGTAGTTAGATTAGTCAGATCGCTCTCCAGAATTTTTAAAAATAGGGATAACAGATGCTGCTTTCCAGCAGTCTGGAAAATAAGACTCTGATAAGCACTTGTTGAATAGTTTTGAAAAGATAGACGACAGCTCAGGAGAACACTTCTGCAAGACTATAACAGGTATGTTGTTCGGGCCGCAAGCTGTAGAAGAGTCTAAGCGGAAAATCACTTTAGATACAGAAGCTGGAGTGATACGAATGTCGAGCAATGGATCAACCTGTTTGACGGGTATATCAGGTAAAACGCAACTAGTGGCATCAAGAGATGATATTGATGAAAGGTTCTTGGCAAACAATTCAGCTTTGTCTTTAGGTGAGGTGACAAAGTCTGAACCGTACAAAAGAGGTAGAATTACAGACTTGCCCTTATTATTGATACTATTAAAGATTCTCCAGAAGTCACGAGAGCCTAAGTTTTGTGATGAAATACGAGATTTCATGATCTGAGAATAGCGGGTTTTGGCGTTAGACAAAACCTTTTTACAATGGTTCCTAGCAGTAATAAACAAACGTCTGTTTCTGGAGAATTGTTTTGCTGATAGATATGGAAGTAATGGTTTCGATTGGCAATTGCAGCAGCACAATGTGAGGAAAACCATGGAGAAGAGTGAGGCTTGACCTGGAATTGTTGAGAGGGAATAAAGGATTCCATGCCAGCCTGAATCCACAAAGTTATGTAAGAAGCACATTTGTCAACAGGGAGACGAAAGATTTCTACCCAGGGGCCATCACGAAGAAAGTCACGAAAAGAGTCCCAGTCAGCTTTAAGGTAGTTGTAAGATGTACGATGATAGGGTGATTCTAATGGTAAAGAAGAATGAGATAATAGTTTTAGAGAGACCAAACCATGATCAGATGCACCTAAGGGTGAAAGTGAAGAAACTTAGCACTGACTAGGATCAGAAACAAGACATAAGTCGAGTAGAGAAGGTAAATGATTCGGGTTATCTGGAAAGCGAGTTGAAAAGTTGACTATTTGAGTTAGGGATTGAGAAAGACAAAAGTTGTGGGCCTTAATACTTGCAGAGTCACTGACACTAGAGCCAAGCCATTCAGTGTGATGAACATTAAAGTCACCGACAACAACAATATTGGCTGATGGATAAAGAATGAGGGCTTGGTCAATATAATCAGAAATTACATCAAGAAGAGTGCAGTCTTGGGATGAGGGAGAGCGATATAGAACAAAGAGAAAGGTGATAGAGTGAAGTGGTGCTAAACGAAAGCACATAAAAGAGTAGTCTGTGGATTCAAACCTTGTTTCCCGACAAATGGGTGAACTCTTACGAATGTAAATGCCTAGGCCAAGCATGTGACTGTTGGAGTCTTTACGAATTAAAGAAAGATAACCATCAACACTAAGATCACAAGATGAGACAGCTGAACTCAAAATAGTCTCACAAAGAGCAAGCAGGTCTGGTGAACTTTGCAAGAGATAAGACTCAACAGAAGAAAAGTTACTTTGAAGACCACGAATATTGGTGAATGATAGGTTTAGCGAACTTGGTGATGACTGTGGTTTTTTGTGTTTTATAGTTTTTGTTACTTTATTCATTTTTAAATTTGTTAAAGAACTTGACTTGAAACATTGATAGTACTCAGTACACTGTTCTATAGCTCAAGCAATTGCCTCATTTCCACTAATAAACTCTAAGCCGTAACAAAGGGCTCCAATGTGGCCTTGGCAATGCACACCAAAAGTACAAACAGGGACACCATCCATGCGCAACATGGCACTGTTAGTACTCTGATATTTTTCAGCTGTTGATGGAATCAGCCTCTCTGAGAGCTACCACAGAGTTCAGGAAACCTGACTACCAGCCGGCCTCAGAACCATAAAACTGAGTTTTAGAGCTGTACCCTCATTTGGAGATAATAGAATGAGTTGCCTAGTCATAAAAACAGAGACACAAGCAAAACTCATAATTCGAGTCGAGAAGATCCAGCGTTCAACATCCTAAACTGGAAACAATGTATTAAAAATACATCTGTGCCAGCCTAATAGATGACGAAGGGGTGCGAGGCTGGTCAACAGATAGAATCTGTTTACCCCTTTATTTATATATATATATATATATATATATATATATATATATATATATATATATATAGTATATATATATATATATATAGATATATATATATATGTATATAGATATATATATATATATAGATATAGATATATATATATATATATATATATATGATATATATATATGTATGTATATATATATATATATATATATATATTTATATATATATATATATATATATATATATATATATATATATATATAATATATATATATATATATATATATATATATATATATATATAGATATATATATATATATATATATATATATATATATATATATATATATATAATTTAGTAAAAACACTTATCTAATTTTTGTGCTCTTCAGCAACATATTTCGCCATCAGTAGGTTCATCAGGAAGAAAAATTTATAATATATATATATATATATCAATATATTTATATATATATATATATATATATATAAATATATATATATATATATATATATATATATATATATATATATATATATATAATTTAGTAAAATTACTTATCTAATTTTTGTGCTCTTCAACAACATATTTCGCCATCAGTAGGTTCATCAGGAAGAAAAATTTATAATATATATATATATATATATATATATATATATATATATATATATATATATATATATATATATATATATTTATATATATATATATATATATATATATATATATATATATATATATATATATATATATATATATATATATATATAATTTAGTAAAAACACTTATCTAATTTTTGTGCTCTTCAACAATATATTTCGCCATCAGTAGGTTCATCAGGAAGAAAAATTTATAATATATATATATATATATATATATATATATATATATATATATATATATATATATACATATATATATATATATATATATATATATATATATATATATATATATATATATATATATATATATATATATATATATATAGGATCGAGTTAACTGTTGCATCCTGTTTAGCTTGTTTAGATAAAAAAGGTTGGATTTTGGAAATAGGAGTATACTCTTTCTATTTAGGTAATTAAAATATTAAATCAGGAATGTTTTAAGGGTGTACTTCTTCCAACTATACTACATGCTAAAAAACTTATAGAAATTTTTTGTACACAATAAATAATAAAATCAATAATAATTTTCTTTAAAAATATCAGGTAAAAACTTTTATTTGTAGAAAAATAAAAATAAGAAATGGTATTAGAATAACTCCCCTAAATTTTTTTCTAATTATTGTTTTAGCATTTTTGATATCTCAATATATGAAGAATTTATAAAAAGCAAACATTCAGTTCCAGAACGTGCTAACATGAATATGGTTGATTATTTATTAATGCTAGAAACAAAATTTGGTTTAGGAGAGTTTAATTTAAATTATCTGATTGGATTAGAGCTTAATTATACAAATAAAGAAGGTAAATTTCTTTTTTGAATAGTTTACTAAATTATTTATCATTATATATATATATATATATATATATATATATATATATATATATATATATATATATATATATATATATATATATTATATATATATATATATATATGTATGTATATATATATATGTATGTTTGTATGTATATATGTGTGTGCATATATGTAAATGTGTAAATATATGGTATACACAGCCCTTGGAATTAGGATCAGCATTTTGAGGTAGACAATTTATTGTCATTGTAATTACTTTATAATTTTGATGATAAAAATGTATATTTATTTTTTAGTCTCTGCTACTATGTGGTATAATAATGAAGCATTACATGCTGCTCCTGTTTCTTTGAATGCTTTTACAAATTCATTGCTACGTATGTATGACCCTGAATGTTCTATTTCATCTATAAATGATCCTCTACCAAAGACTGTAAAGCAAAGCATATCTGATCTTTCCTTGTAAACTTAATTTTAAAAATTCTTATATTTTGTTAGTCTATACGATAATTCTTTATATAAAGTCTATAGGATAACTTTGTTAGTTTACATTATTTTTATTTATAGCAATCCTAATGGCTTTCAAATTGGTTTCAGTTTAGTATTTTCTATGGCTTTCTTAGCATCCAGCTTCATTGTTTTTTTAGTACAAGAGAAAGCTTCAGGTTCAAAACATGTTCAATTTGTAAGTGGTGTTGATCCATTTAGTTACTGGTCATCTGCATACACATGGGATTTGATTAATTTTATTTTGCCTATTGTTCTTATTGTTGTACTGTTTGAAATTTTTCAGCAAGAGGCTTTTATAGGTGAGGGATTAGTTATGTAGCAACATTTATCAATATGATTCTTTATTAGGTAAAATGTTGTAAATTATATTCAATAACAGTTATAGACTATGCTTTTCTTACTGAAAAATTAAGTAAGAAGTATCTTACTGAATATTTTTAATTAAGAAAAATAAATATATAACAATCGAAACTTATATCAAAGTCACTAAATTTTATTATTGCAAACACCTTTCCTCCTATGTGCGACAAACCTTG